AGAGAAAGCTCCGTCCACAGGAGGCTGACAGCTGCTTCTCACTGAGGCCAGGCAGCCTGGGGCGATGCTCCTGTGGGGGCCTGCACTGGGGGTGGCCTTCCAGGCTGCTGCACCTGCTGTCTGGACAACCGTGTAACAGACGTTTGCTGGTTTCGGTCTCTCTATTTCTTCTCTCAAAGCAGCAGTTTGATTCTGGAGCTGGCATCTCTCCCAGTGGTGAACAAGTCCAGGCAACCTTACCCACTGTGCATAAGAGCAGACCAAGTCTCTGATGGGCTTCTTTCAGGAGCAGACATGCAACTTTGCCAGGAACCCCAGCGAACGTTTCCTTGCATCCCCCTTCAGGGTTCTGAACCACGCATGACAGCACGGGGTTGGGGACAAGCGCCCCACTGGACTGAGGGGTGGAAAGTCTCCCTCAGGGGCTGGGCTCTTCCAAGAGGGCCAGAATGGGATGTGAACTGGGCCCCTTAGCAAAGGTGGGAGGGAAGGGGGTGCTGGGGACAGACAGCGGTGTCCCAAGCCACAACAGTTAACCTGAGGACATGGGTTCTCCTGGCCCTTAGGCCAGCCTCGGCCTGACACACACTCTGGAATGTTCTGAGCAGAGATGGCCCTTACCTCGGCTTCTCGGTGTACCTCTTAACACCTGGAAACAAAAACCCTTTTTTTATATTTATATGGAAAATGCCTGCATCTGAGATCTTGCTCAGCTGCAAAGTCCAGGGTGTAGGGAAGAGGAGGAATTAATCGCTTTGATCCAAAGATGGCACTGAGGCAGCCAGACCCACTCCCCCTTCCCGTTCACTCTTAGTCCACTGGGATCTGCATTGTGTATACAAAGTGTGTATATAAAACTCAAAAGTAAACCTGTTCCTGGGTTTGGATTAAAAAAAAAAAAGACTGCCCTCTGCCAGAAGCTGGCTGGAGCCTGGCACTGGCAGACAGAGTTAGCGGTTTGTCGGCTTTGAAGTGAAGGTTTCTTTCCCTCTTTACTAGCCATGGAAAGGACTTTAAAGGAAAAGCAAGGAGCAGTCGGCGAGGAGTACTTTTCTCTGGCAGACGAGGTAATGTCTTTGGGTATAATCTGCTGCTTAGAGCGTGGGGTTGAGAGCAGACGCCACATCACCGCTGGTGCTCACGGGCCCACTGCTCAGAGACGCAGGGCCGCTGCGGACACTCAGACGCCGTCTTCTCCAGGAACCCCCAGGGCTGGCTTAAATGTCAGGGGTCACATTTTAGGTGTGGTGAGCAGGGGTGCTCCAGCTTTAAACAGAAGAATAGCCTGGACATTTATCACAATTCAGAGGCTGGGGCTCCATGCTCAGGGATTCTGATTCTGTGTGTGTGTATTCCAAGTACATATTTTTTTGGTGGAGAAAGAGGTTATCATTTTAACAAGCAGCCCAGATAGTTCAGATGTAGGTGGTCAGTGGACCCTACTAAGAAATTTCACCTCAAGAACCTATAGAATGTTGAAAATAAAGTGAAAAAGAACCCATAAAATGTTAAAACTCTTTAGTCAAAAGAAATGGGAGTTTAAGTCACAATATTCTGATTTATAAAGGCTTGAGGAAATAACTGATCAGTGAAAGATCAAGAAGAGGAGGCATGTCTCTCCGGTAATTCTATTTTGACTCCTGGTAAGAAATGCCATTTGCCTTCAGAGACTAGTTTAATTTTACGACTCAAAAAAACCGCGTTCCACTGCCAAAACCTGACTGCCCATGACCTACAAAAAATGTTTATAAAAATCACTAGAAACAATCTTATAATAATATAACAACAATAATCTTAAAAATGCAGTCTTTTTTCCAGAATACCTGTCACCCGAAAGCCTTGGCCAACCATCTCAGTCAGCTTGAGCTGCTGTAACAAAATACCCCAAAGTGGGTGGCTTCTCAACAGCAGGAATGTATTTCTCCTTGTTCTGGAGGTTGGGTATCTGAGGCCAGGGTGCCAGCCTGGCTGGGCTCTGGTGAGGGCCCTCTTCTGGGTGGGAGATGTCTAACTTCTTTCATCTATTTTTTCCCTGTCTTGCATCAGGAATTTTTAAAAATTGAAGGACAGATGGCTTACAATATTGTGCTAGTTTCAGATGTATAGCAAAGTGACTCAGATATATACATTTTCAGATCCTTGGGTTTTCACACAGCAGAGAACGAGCAAGCTGTCTCTGAGGTTGTCTCTCCGCTCATCTGATCTCTAGTCCCTCCCCAAGGTCCCACCTCCATGTTGGAGAGGGGGTCAGGGCCTCAGCACAAATTTGAGGGGGGCCCAAACATTCAGCCCACAGGACCAGCATAGCACCAAAGGGATGGATGTGACTTGGCCATATTTTCAACTTCAAGACCAGGGATAAGAAATAGTCCTTTCAACACAGACTGTGGATTATCCACCCAGCAGCTCCTGGACATGAAAACTACAGTGAAATTGCCTTCCGTGTCTAATGAAAACCTCGGACTCAGGCAGTGACGGGCGATTTCAGAACAACATCTTTTGCCTCATGGAAATAGACCAACCAACCTAAAAGCTGAAACGATGTAGTTTATGTTAAAAAAAAAAAAAAAAGCTTTTATACCTAAGTGAAACATGATTTAATATTACAAATTCCTTTCTCTTGGATGGCAGGAATAGCTCACTGGTTTTTTCCAGAAAGTCCCCAACTATGGAAATTTCATCATTACATTAAGCCTTTGAACCACACAAAAGAACATGCAACTCGGACTACACAGTGAATGGTCCCCCCACATATCAAAGGTCAACCTCCTGATGAATTGGCGACCAGTCTAACTCATGCACATCTGAATTGGGGTTACTGGAGCCAGTGAACACAGAGGGGTCACTGGAACATCTCTCTGGGGAGGGGCTTTCAAAGGAGGGGGCTTTGTCAACCAGCCACCCGTCAGCTGATTCCATCCTTCCGCTGTCATTCTCCTCTAATTTAGAAGATTGTCCTCTGCAGTTGGCTGCTGTCCCTTTTATCGTCCCCTGCCCCAAATCCCCCCAATGAAATGTTTATTGGGCCACACTCACACTTAACCACAAGGCAAGAACATGAAGCAGATACTTTAGGCACCAAGCCTTACCCGGTGATCATCATTATGGATAGTTTTCTTGCTTAATTAGCCCATGCATATGGAATCTACAAAGATGATACTGATGAACCTATTTGCAGGGCAGCAATGGAGATGCAGATGTAGAGAAGAGACTTGTGGACACAGTCGGGGAAGGAGAGGGTGGGACAAACTGAGAGGGTAACATGGAAACATATACACTACCATATGTAAAATAGACAGCCAGTGGGAATTTGCTATATGATGCAGGGAGCTCAACCCAGTGCTCTGTGACAACCTAGAGGGGTGGGATGGGGTGGGGGGGTGGGTTTCATGAGGGAGGGGACACATGTATACTTATGGATGATTCATATAGATGTGTGGCAGAGGCCAGTACAATATTGCAAAGCAATTATCCTCCAATAAAAAAAAAATTCAAGAACAGAAAGAACTGATTGAAGGGTACAAAGCATCTTTGCTGGGAAATGCTTGTTTGGCTACGCAACGATCTTCTTGATTCATTCACTGCTCTGTAACTTCTTATACCGCTTGGATTTGGGAAGGACCTGAAAAGTGTGTTACATGTTTGTCCTGGTGCCTTACAGGAGGCAAAGCTGTGTTCAGGGACACACAAGTAGCCCCTCTAGGATATGTCCATCCTGCTCAGCACTTCAGAGGAGGTCCCAGGCCCCCGAGGGTACATCAATGGATTCACCAAGTAAAAATGGCAAGCAGCCCACCCCGATGACCTCACAGTAAACAGTTGCCGAGTGTGTATCTAGACCTAGGAGACCCGAGTTCTGGTTCATTCGTGTAGAGTAAGTGAGGTAAAGATAGCAGCCCGATGTGCCATGCATGGGCCTGCCCCTATAATACATCAGCGTGGGGCAGGAGCCAGAAGAAGCCTGTAACCCACAGCCTTCTCTTTCGATGCTTGGTTCTGACCGGAGACACCGGCATCCTCATGCAAATCTGGGGGGATGACCCAGAGCAAACCTCAGCAGACCGAGCGCATGCCCCCTGCGAACAGCTGCCCGGGCCCTGCAGTGTGCTCCGGGCCTGGAAGTGGGGACAAAACAAGGTAGACCTGGCAGGTAGAGCTGGGGAGCAGACTACAGCTGGGGTGCTTCCCCGGCACCAGGACTGCTGACCTGGACAAGCCCAACCAGGGACGGTCAGCAAGGAGACCTCCAAAGGGGTCTGAGTGCAAAGAGAACAGGGAATGCAATGTCTTCCTTCATAGACATTCTGTGTCCCTTCCCACAAATCACATATTCTCTTATAAACCCTGAAACACTTCCCTGTAAAGCAAGTTTTACAGCTTCATTTGTAAACTGAGGGGGTTTGGAAGCCAGGGCTTTCAAGTTCCCCCCCTGCCCAGACCCCATCCTGTAGGGTCTTAAGATCCAGTGCGTCAGGGCTGAAGGCTCCATGGCAAACACAGACGGAGATAATATAAAAGATGAAACAAAATACAAATGAGCGTAAAGGTCTTCTATCTCAGCCTCTCCATGAAGAGATGCACAGTGCGAAATTCTGGTTAACTAGTGATCTAGTTCATAAGGTGGTTAGATTTCTCTTTCACAGGTGACATTGTCAACTACTCAAAGTATAATAATACCACTATCGAAATCACAACCAATATAATCATGAACGACTCAAATCATCTCCCATTTTCCATGTCTGTGAACCGTACACCTGAGAACAGAATTCACTGTGGAAATGCAGATGTGCTGGGTAGGTCAGAGGAATTATGTCAACAGTTTACCTAACTGTGAACATTTCAAATGCTCTTGCTGTGGCCTGGACAACCTCTTCCTGGGGTTCTGATGTGGTTTGTTTCCCACCAGATTCATGTTGACAGAAGCAGGCAACACCAGCCTGTCCTGCAGTTCATCCCCATCCTGAGACCCAGGATGCCCATTGACAGTTAGTGGCACTGACCTGTCCTTTCATGTCTGGAGCGATGGGAATGGTGGGCCAGATGGTCGAGTAGATGCCAAAAAACACCAGCCAGATGAGCATGCTTCCCCAGACGGCCAGGTGACTGAACTGCAGGAGGAAACAGACGCTCATCAACAGGGCCATCTGCGGGCCTGGGAGCCACCTGACCAACCCCGCCCCACTGCAGGAGCCCTCGGTCCATGCCACTTTTCTTTATGGAAAGATTTCTATGAGTCACTGGTCATTGGAGAGTTGGATCTTTCTCATTTTCTTGTCTCAGAGTATTTAACGGTGAATTTAAGTAACTAGTGACCCCAAACCACCCTGAAGAGGAAAGTGCTTTTTGCACCACTGCTGATGGTCCCCTAGGCACACCCCATGGTGCCAGCAGAATCCTGCCCGTCCCTTACTGGTGTGCATTCCAACCTGGTCTGAATAAACAAGGCCTCATTCATCTAGAAAGAGGGTGCTGGACAGACAAAACGACCAAGGTTGTTTTATTTATCATTCTGAGACTTCAATTGTTCTTTTCTAAAGAACTTAAAAAACAATCTGGCATGGACATATATCTTAACAATACCACTCTGAGCATCTACTGGGTTGTGAATTTCTTCTCCTTTGTCCTTTTAATAGGATAATCCTTGACTTCCTCCATGATCTAATCCATCATGAGCCTCTGTCAGCTTTTTAAAAAATCTGACCACTGCTCAGTGCCTGCTCTAACCCCCAGGCTAAGCCACCATCCCCCCTCACCTGGCTTCATTGTCTCTGTCTCAATTCTCTGCTTCCATATTTACCTCCCACCCCTCTCTTGCGTAATCAGCACAGAATTAGAGGCCTTTGTAAACAGCAGAGACAACCGTTAAACATTGGCCATAACCCTCAAGAGCTGGAGATAACTAAAAATGCCCCAAACTGGGGCCTGATTAAACAAGTGATGGGATATTGATAAAACTCAATCCTCTTTAATCATGAACTATGACTTTGCAGAAGCATATTTTAAAGCATGTAAAATATTGATATATTTTTAAGTGAAAAAAAGGCTACAGTACTCTATGTTCTGTAAAGCTTCATCTTATTAAAATAAATGCACAAAGTCTGGAAGATAATACAGCAAATGTTAAAAGTAACTACCTCTTGGTGATAAAATTATGGAAATTAAAAATTCACCTTTTTGTATTTTCTTTGTATATATATATTTTTTATAATGTGCATACATATTTGAAATGAGCTGTTAATAGCTTAGAGTTGTATTAAGAGCCTAGCAAATGATTAGGGAACTTTGGATGGCAAATGTGCCCTGATAAAGATCAAACCACAATTTTTAGATGCAAAAATTTAAAGTCCGTGGCTTGACATTGCTTACCATTTTCCTGGGTTTTTAAAAAGATACTATGCCACAAAAAATATCTATACTGGATAGAGAAATATTAATAATTCTATAGAAAACTTACTTTTGTCCAAGCTGTCGTCTCCAAACCAGCTTTCAGACAAACAGTAACAACAACATACTGTGAAAGAAAGTGCAGTTTGGGAAATGTGTTATCCTTGTATTTTCAACCAGGAGAAACCCCACATCCTCCCCAGGGGCAGTTTCTTCCCAGCAGCTGGACTTTGGAAGTGCTATCTTGGGAGCTAGTTTCCTGGGGGTAAGTTTTAGGAAACTTACAGGCAGGTTTCTTTTAAGAAAAGCCCTCACTTTAGTGATTGTTTTCTCATAAGTAATATTACTCCTCCCTCTTCTTTAACTTGGAAGATTAGGGAGAAATCACCTTCTCTCAGTGTAGGGTTTTTGTTTTGTTTTGTTTTGTTTTTGCTTGTTTTGATTTTTTCACAAGTAGGTGTGAAATGTTCATGTAAAGACTGAGGGAAGTCTGTTGATCCCTTGTCCTGAAGTCTGAACTTTACAAAAGTGAGTGAGTGAAGTTGCTCAGTAGTGTCTGGCTCTTTGCGACCCTGTGGACTGTAGCCTACCAGGCTCCTCCATCCATGGGATTCTCCAGGCAAGAATACTGAAGTGGGTTGCCATTTCCTTCTTCATGAGATCTTCCCGATCCATGGATCAAACCCAGGTCTCCCGCACTGTAGGCAGACGATTTATCCTCTGAGCCACCAGGGAAGTTCCCACCAGGGAATTTTGCATAAACTTCACTAAAATACAAGGTAAGCATTTTACAACCATTTTGAGCTTGTTGTTGTTGTGCAGTTGCTAAGTCATGTCTGACTATTTGCGATCCCATGGACTGCAGCACACCAGCCTTCCCTGTCCTCCACTATCTCCTGGAGTTGTCTCAGATTCATGTCTATTGAATTGGTGAGGCCATCCAACCATCTCATCCTCTGTCCTCCCCTTCTCCTCCTGCCCTCAATCTTTCCCAGCATCAGGGTCTTTTCTAATGAGTTGGCTCTTTGCATCAGGTGACCAAAGTGTTGGAGCTTCAGCTTCAGCATCAGTCCTTTCAATGAATATTCAGGGTTGATTTCCTTTAGTATTGACTGGTCTGATCTTCTTGCAGTCCAAGGGACTCTCAAGAGTCTTCTCCAGCACCACAATTCGAAGGCATCAATTCTTTGGCGCTTAGCCTTCTTTATGGTCCAACTCTCCACATCTGTACATGACTACTGGAAAAACCATGACTTTGATTATACAGACCTTTGTTGACAAAGTGATGTCTCTGCTTTTTAATATGCTGTCTAGGTTTATCATAGCTTTCCTTCCAAGGGGCAAGAGTCTTTTAATTTCAAGGCTGCAGTTTTTCAGTTCAGTTCAGTTCAGTTCAGTTCAGTTGCTCAGTCGTAGCCGACTCTTTGCGACCCCATGAATTGCAGCACTCCAGGCCTCCCTGTCCATCACCAACTCCCAGAGTTTACTCAAACTCATGTCCGTTGAGTCGGTGATGCCATCCAGCCATCTCATCCTCTGTTGTCCCCTTCTCCTCCTGCCCCCAATCTTTAAGGAATCTATAATATATACTTCAGAGATTTGAAATAATGATGACAAAGACCTTATACAAAGGGACAGAGAGATAGAACCCACACACATGCCATTTAAGAAAGATTCAATAAACAGGCAAACTTACCGTATAAACGATATTTCCAACAAATAAATAGTCTGTGGCATGACCATTAGCCAACACAGTATCTGAAAAACAAAGAAGTCACAATCAACCTGTAGCGCGCTGCAGTCTGTTTTACCAGAATGCAAAAAGAGAACTTCAGAGACATTTACACTTGTCACATCATCTGTGGTTCTAATGCCTCCTCTTTCTAACTCTGAATTTCTTCATCTTATATTTTCCCCAAATGAAGCAAACACACAAAGTCAGGTTTCCAACAAAACAACCAACCAACCACTTTTCATACAGATTAAAATTTCTCTTTGTCTATTAGAAGAAGAGATAGAATAAAGCCATATTAATCTATCTCTGGGTTTCCCTGGTGGCTCAGTGGTAAAGAATCCATCTGCCAATGAAGGAAATATGGGTTCAATCCCTGGGTCGGGAAGATCCCCTGGAGAAGGAAATGGCAACCCGCTCCGGTATTCTTGCCTGAAAAATCCCATGGACAGAGTGGCCTACAGTCCATGGGATAATCATAAAGGGTCGGACATGACTAAGCAACTAAACAACCAAAAAATCTATTTCTGTGGGTGCTAGTATTAGACAGTCTCTGTGTGTTCATTTGCCATTTGTCTTTAATTTTTGCTAAATTGGCATTGTAGGCCAATAGCAGAGATAACTATGTGATACAAAATGAGTCCGTGATGACTGCACTCAGAATTCTGGAAGACATTCACTACTCATGTTCTCCATCAACTTCTATGTGAATTACTGGGGGCCTGTAAATGCAAACATTCAATGCGTGATGCCTAGACAATATAACTAGGATGTGAAGCCTTAATTTTGCAGCTTTTCCATTTTCCAATGTACATAATGATCACTAAGACAGAAGTGAAGGGAAAGTCACTCAGTCATGTCTGACTTTTTGTGACCCCATGGACTATACAGTCCATAGAATTCTCCAGGCCAGAATACTGGAGTGGGTAGCCTTTCCCTTCTGCAGCGGATTTTCCCAACCCAAGGACCAAACCCAGGTCGCCCGCATTGCAGGCAGATTCTTTACCAGCAGAGCCACAAGAGAATTATCTAGTTCAGGTCAGCTAGCCTGCTGTGAAAAGTCTGATTTTTACCTTGAGGGTTGAAAACCTGTTTTAAAATCAGAAATGATTTATTTGAGTGACACCGCCAATGTCCTTTTATTCTTTCTTTATACCCAAATTAGACCTGTGGCCTATAGGCCAAGTAAACATGGAATTTTGTGTTCAAATTTCCAACCCAGTAGCTGTTGTACATGTACATTTGGGCTCATCAATTTACCCATCTGTTTGTTGAAGAATCTGACTCATGAAAGAATCAAAATCTATTTAGTTTTGTCAAACACCATAATGACGAAGTACATCACAGGTAAAATATGATCGTCAAGGGACCCTGGATCCAGCCACAGGGTGTTCCCTTTCTCCTGAGTCCAGAAAATTGGTGGATAAGGACAGATGAATCCTCAAAGAGACATCACGGGCTATGTTAGCTACAGACCTAAACTGAGAGTTTCCAAACTACCTCCTGTTCGTTTTAGCTCAAGATGGATTTCCTATCCTTAGTCTTGCCCTCTGACTTTACAAATGAAGAAAAGACATTTGATTGAGATGAGCAGTGATCTGAAGGCCCTGAGTTCTACCTACACGACCCTGACGGAGTCTGGAGAAAATGCTGATCAGATGGAAGACTTAGAACAGCTGGGAGGCTAAGCTGAAAACCAGGTTTACAATTACGGTTTGACAACTTCTGAATTTCCTTTCAACAGTAATATTACAAAGGCTGGTTGACTCATCTGCTAAAAGAAATTAAATATACAAAGCATTTGTCTACATATGGAGGACTTAGAATGTACTTCATACTTCAAGAATATACACTTAATGAACATAAAACTGTTAATTCTACACTGAAAATAGAAATTACATTACTAAGCATAAGACAGGCTCTGTTCTAAGCACTTTACATCCATGAGTATGCTTACTAATATATGTAATACTAATAGACGACTATTAGCATTGCTAATACACAACACTAAAATACCTAACACTTCTTTGATGCTCCAGCAATGCTATGAAATGGTATTATGACCTGCATGTTTCAGATGAGGAAACTAGGGCAGCAAAGAGAAGCTAAATGACATGTGAGGCCATATTCTGAGTGAGAAACTGTGAACTCTGGAAATAAGACATTGTTCTCACTAACTGAGAGAGAGAAATGGACCCCAAAGTGGTACAGAATCTCTGCCACGTGAATCTCACTTTTATTTCCACCTTATTTCTCTCCTAGAAATTTCCTTCCCATTAGGTGTTGGTATTTCAAAAGAATTCTTCTTAATCTAGTTATTTTTCCCCTTGAAGTTGTCTTCTTTTATTCTTCGGGGTCCATTTTTCCCATCAGTTGGAGGGTGCTGTCGCTGTGATGGCAGGGTGTTCGGCAGCATGCCTGGTCTCTATCCACAGTATGAGAATAGTACCGACTCCCTGGTTGTGAGCCAGTAGTATCTACCATCAAGTTGTGACAACAAAAAATGCCTCTGGACACTGCCAAGGTCCCCTGGGGGAAAATTCCCCATATTGAGAATCACAGTATTAGAGGAAAGAAAACAGAGGAGCTGGAATAAATACAGAGAATACACCCTGAAATAAGAGTGGTGAATGAAGGGAATGCCCCTCGTCTGTAGTCAGGCTGAGGAGCAGAGTATGTTAGGACCTCACAGCTCACACCATCAGGAGAGAAGTAAGGTTAGGCCTTGGTACAAAGAGATGGAACTGCCATTGCTTGATGGCTTTTAAAGGGACAAACCCTGTGATCACCTCCAGGGCCGAGACCTCACTGATGGAGAGAGCATCTCCATGGAGAGCCTTAAGACCATGGACCACCATGCTGGGAATTTGGCACAAACAGAAGAAACAGGTAGTGAAACCCAGGGATCTCTTCTAACTGTAGCTTCTAGAATTTTATAAGGCATGCATTTCTACCTTGCCATGACAGTACAATGCTACTGGCATTAAATAACTGGCTTGCACCTGAGTTCATCTGAATACACTTAAGATTAGTGAAGCCAAGATAACCCTACTATTCCAACTCATCATTTTTCAAGGATAACTCAACACTGTGTTTTAAGTTTCTGCTTAGGAAAGAGCATCTCCCAGCCCAATCGAAACTAATACCATCTGGGAATAATTCATTCCTTGAAGGAGAAATTCCCAAACTAACTTGTGATTCTGAACATACCAACAGCCTTGGAAAAGACAGCATCCACTAAACAACTCACAAGTCACTGCTTGGCCCGCCCTGTTTGGGAAATTCCCACAAAATAGTGTGTTCTCTTAAAAGTTATATGTTGACTGCTTTAGAGGGAAATACCTGTTGGAATCAGTTCTTATGAAAAATTTGCCAGTAGCATCCTCCTGAAGAAAAGACACCAAGTCTTAAACGATCATTGGTGAAAAAACACATTCATAAGCTACAGCTGGCTTATAATTCAAGGCTGGAAAAGTCCATTTGCACTGTCCACTTTATTATTTCTGCAGCACGTTACTCACAAATTATTTCTTCCTGTTTTGCTTAATCTTAACAATACTGTTAAGATCCACCACTCTACTCTGAAAAACAACTTTCCTGTAGCTTAGCTGTTTTCATTTTAGCAGGGTATTTAAAACTCAAGTAACTTTTTAAATAGGAGATAAAGAACCCCTAAACCAAGGTAAGTCATTGGGTTCCCAAGCCAGCCTTTAGAACATATTTATCCACCATCTACGTAAGCGATGATAAGATTACTGCAGATGAAGCAGGACGGGGGGCACAGATGGCTGTAGGGAGGAAGGGGGCAGAGAGAGGGGAAAGGACAGTTCAGGCACAAAAGGAAATACATCCACCTAGAGACATGGGGATGGATGCCTGCGCTGCATCAGGCGGTGACGTCAGCTGGAGCCAAGCCATTCCAGGTTCTGAGAAGGTCCCAGTAAGAGAAACCCATCCTATGCACAGGTGGAGAGAAGTGATCTCAACACACCTTTATTCACCAGCATGATGTTGAGCATCTCCCAGTAGAAACCATCACTAGCACACAAAGGCCCAGCAGGCCCAGGGCGGGGTGGGGGAGGGAGGGGGAGGGAGAGAGGGATTGAGGGGGCAGGGGGACGAGGGAAGAGGAGGGAAGTGGGCTGACTGTTGTGTCAGCACTCTCTGCAGCGTCTCACTGGACCATGTGAGGTCAGCCAGGAGATCGAGATTGAGGATTAGCTCTCCCTAGATGAGAGCTGAAACAGGGGGAACAGTGTGTGCTCCCCGTCCCTGCAGTCCAGGGAAAGAGCTCTGCAAGGTAAAAGAAGCCGTAAGAGTGGAAAGATGCTTGTCTCACTTGTTGGTCACATATAGAATGACCTGGTGGGTCTGCATGTGGGGTAAAATCTGATACGATGATGGGATGACCGTGTACATCAAAGGTGGTATTACGGGAGCCTGAAGCCCTGTCCTGAGAGCCACTCATTCTCCTCCAGGCAGAAATGATGCCATGGCTTCAGGACCCACAGACCCTCAGCAGCCGCCCAGCCTGTTGGTCCAGACTTACGTTATCTGCAAAGTCGGGTTGGAGTCAGGGACTAGCATGATGTAGGAATAGCCAAATGAGGTTGACAAACCCAGACACTAAACCGACTGGTGTGAACAATGACAAACCCACATGGACCCTCCAGTGACTAGTGACAGCCCCAAACGCAAGCAAAACGCTCTCCAAGAATGTTTGTGGGGAAAGTCTGTCTCGTTTTCTAAACAGGCAGAATGATTGGGGAACTTACCTCAGAGGCTTCCAAGGGGCTAGGCTGATGACATCTTATAAAGATGCCATTTCAATGAAATGCTCGTTAAACACATTACATTATGACCCGGCTAAACCACAAAAACGTATTCAGAGAGGGCTTTGACGAAAAGCAAAATCTGAAGCCTAAGTTACAGCGTAGTTCTGTGCAGTCAGGGCTCAATAATCAAGAAAACAGATGGCATGAATGCATACATGTGTTTTTGGTGTGTTAAGAACCTGTGGAGGACT